AAAAGGTCGCATACTTTATGATTCCATTTATATGACATTCTGGAAAGGACAAAACTCTAGTGATGGGAACAGACCAGTGGTTTACAGCGGCTTGGGGGTAGGGGGCGGGGTGTATCTAGAAAGGGATGGTATGAAGGAGTTTGGGGAGGGGATGGAAATGTTCCAGATCCTGATTGTGGTGGTGTTCACACAAATATGTGGTAAAAGTCATAGAACTGTACAATAAAAGGATAAAAGTCCATTCTGTGGTATGATGATTGAAACAAAATAAAAGACACAACTCTTGCCCTGAAGAGTACACAGATCAGAGAGCTGGAGGTGTAGACGTATCCTACATTAAACAACACATCAGTCACTGATAGTGCTGTGAGGGCACAGAGCAAGGAGATTATCACTTGATGGGGGTAGGAATCAAAGAAGGCATCACAACTAACACTTCTTTGATTAGTAGGCAGCTGTTGAATATATTTTCATGTGTATTATGGCCACGTGTGGTGGTTTTAAAAAAATGGTTTGTCATCCTTTGCCCATTTAAAAAATGTGAATATCCTTTTTTTCTTCAGTTTGTAAGCTTTTTTTAAATTTTATTTGTATTTTTTAGTGGAGGTACCGAGGATTGAACCCAGGACCTCCAGTATGCTAAGCATGTGCTCTACCACTGAGCTATAGCCTCACCCCTCTATACAAATTCTTTATGTATTGAAAGTATTAACTCTTTGGCTTTATTTCTGTCTATTTTTCCATTTACTTCCCTTTTATTTGTGTGTGTTGTAAATTTTGTGATAAACACAATTTTTTTTGAGCAACAAGAGGAGTAGATGTTTTTATTGATCTGGAACCCCTTATGGATCTTCACGTTGGGCAACCTGAAAGATGAGTGGACCGTTTCTTATTCATCCCATGCCTCTCCCCAACCCCTCGCCCCACCCACCTCCTTCCCTGATTGGCTCCCAGTGGCAATGGCTGACAGAGGAGCGCCTTCACCCATCCTCTTAGTGATGCTGGGGCCCCCTCGCCACGGCATTCCTATCATTTTGGTAAATGGAAGCTCCCCTGGCCCCCTCAGGGGACGTGGTCATCCTGTGGGTTTTTCTGGGGGTTTTCCACTTTCACATTATATATCCACTCAGGCACACCCACTTCTTTGACCCTTCTTCCACCATCTGCTCCAGGAGTCCTGACATTTCTAGTTCACTTAGAATGAGGCTTTCTCCAGTCTTTACAGCTGGCAATGAAACTTCAGAAGTGCAAGGATTGAGGAAGGGATAAATTAGGATTTTGGGATTAGCAGATACAAACTACTATATATAAAACAAACAACAGAGTCCTACTGTATAGCACAGGGAGCTATATTCAATATCCTGTAATAAACCATAATGGAAAAGAATATGAAAAAATATATATGTGTATAACTGAATCACTTTGCTGTACATCTGAAACTAACACAACATTGTAAATCAACTATACTTCAACAACAAAAAAGTGCAAGAATCGAAAGAAAATCTTAAAAAGGTAAAAGAAAAAAATCTAAAATTAAATTCATGAGAATAAGGATCAAAATGATAATCTCATTTCTCACTCGACTGGATGAAGGTAAGAGCTGTTTTTTCGCTGTTTCTCCTTGGATGTATGCAGTCTCTAAAACAGTGCCTGACACATAGTAGACACTCAATTAATACTTGTTATATGATTGATTAGAATAGTAGCTTGAAAATAGCTTTAAACCTACATCTGCATCACTGCCCAGTTAATCCTCAAGAGTGAGTGTGGACAGAATGTAGTTATGATTGGACAAATAAGGATGCTGTGATCAATGCTCATAGGCCCGAGGTGAAAAGTGTACCAAAGGATGTACTCCAGCTAACAGAAAAAAACAACCCAAAAGGGAGTAGTGGGATGCAAAGGTCAAAAGTGAGCAAAGAAATCGGTATAGAATGCTGGTACAGATAAACAAACATTGACTGTCAAAAAAGATAATAGTAATTACAAACTTTACAGTTCTGATAACTCTTGACAACAAGTCAGACATTAAATTACCAAAAATATTAACAGGACAGATGGGAGGAAGAATAGTGCCCTGGGATGCTGTTGAATCTGTTTTTGTTAAAGTGATATATCAGGCTTTTAGAAAGCAGACAATAGAAATACTAAATAACTCCAGTCATTGGTAGGAAAATGTAGGTTTCAGCTTGTTAAGAATTCTATATAAACATTAAAATAATAGGAATAGAAAATATAATTTCCAAGCTACTAAGGGGAAAAAAAAGAATAACCCCCCTAAATCAATCCAAGAAGTGAAACAAATGTATATATACATTGATATTTCATTGTAAAAATATTTATATCTATATATGAGTGACTAAAATGAAAGGTTATACTACTAATTAAATTAAACTGCTAATTGAATTGAAAAGTTATTAGGTCCGAGGACTAGGATTAGCCTGTTTAGGCCTTTATTATTTTGGATAATTTTTGGAATACAAATTTGAACACTGATCATAGCACAACGATTGGAGAAATATTATATAAAACTCCAGAAAATGGTGGGGGGAAGCTTTAGCTCAAGCGGTAGAGTACATGCTTAGCATGCACGAGGTCCTGGGTTCAATCCCCATGGAAATTTAGAAAGCTATAAATATGTAAAGTACAGAAATGAGAAACTATTCCTAGGAGGTTGGATTGATACTTGCCATTTATTTCTGCAACGTAGTTCCTTCTTTTCCAAAAATCTTGCAAGCAGCGTGGGTGACTTTTCTAATGATAAGAGAAAACACTATTTCTGGAATGAAAGTAAAGGAAATAGGAAGCAACAGAAGGCTATTTAATGGTATGTGAAAGGGTTCCAGTTTCAATATAAATGATAAAACCACAAGACAAAGCTTTATCCCGCCCCTCTGCCTAGAGCACACACGTCCTGTGTGTGACCATTGTATGGTGCACACTGATGGATTGATGGAGACTATCTGACCTGTCCTTTGAGGACTTGCCCCAGATAGCTATTTCCCACTTAGCACACCTGGCCTAGAGCACGAGTGTTCATAATCCACTGGTGGGCTTGTTCAAACCCAGGCTGCTGGACCCCCATCCCCAGTTTTCTCATTCAGTGGGTCTGGGGTGGGGTCCGACAATGGACATTTCTAACACGTTCCCAGTGATGAGGCTGCATCCTCGTTTGGAAAACTACCGGCCTCGGATCTGGGTCCGCAAACGGAGGACACCGGAGCCTGGCAGATGTGTGAGGCCCGGCACCTCAGGGCTGGGTGGCTAGGGACACCCCTGGCCTTTAGCCTCCGGGACCTCTTGACAACTTGGGGAAATTGCGGGGAGCTAATGCTGGGTAACTAGCGCGGATTTACAAAGCCAGAGTCGTGGAGAAATGGCATTCTCGAAATGATGTCTGATGAGAGTTTGCAGTTTAGACCTCAAATTTATTTCAGATTCAAAGGAGAAAGGTAAGCACCGCCGCAGCGAGCAGGTTTCCCGCAAACCTTGCGGTGGGCAGCTTCCTTCCCAGCAGCCATCAGGCTCCGAAGCGTTTTTTTCAGACACGAAAGGCGGGCGAAGAGGCTGCGTAGATGGGGGCGGGGTGAAGGCATGGAGGGCTTCTCGGCATTTCTGGAGCAACATTGCCATCAAGAGGAAAATCTAACAAAGCCTCAAGCCACGTGGGAAAACAGGGTGAGGCTGCACAATACCAGGCAGAAAGGAAAGCTTTGTTGGAGCAGAAAACCCAGAAGTCCTGAGTAAAGGATCCAGAAGCCGAGTGAAAGGTAGTCCCACTGATAGCAGGTGGGACGATTTGATCGTCACCAAGGTTATGATTGCAATGGATGGAAATACATGAAAGAGAAACCTGTTTGAAATCCAAAAACTCGTGATGATACGAATGAAACTAGCTCATTGGTCACTGTGGGAGGATGCTTGGGAAACAAAGCTTGATATTGAAAACTGGTAAATACAGGGAAAGAATCAAGCGTTTATCCTGTTTTTCTTATATAAGGCGAAGAGTTGGCTAGGGGAAGTTCTCCTTTATAGGTGTATTTGGGCTAATAAACGAAGAAGGAACGAGGGACTCAGAACATCCCATTTTGTCACTCCTTTGTGAATAAATGATCCAGGCACCGCCCATCGATGACCGATGACGTCACAAAAAGAGGGACAACAAATAGTATGTGCCTGACAATGAAGGCACAAAGCATCCATATGAAGCTGTCCTGAATCTATATAAACATGAGAATAATGTGAAGGCTGAATGGATATTTGACGACATTTAGGATTTATTATAATTTTTTTGATGAGAAAATGGTGTTGAGTTTAGATTTTCTAGAGTCCTTATCTTTCAGATGCACATACTGACATATTCTAGATAAAATAATATGATGTCTGAGATTTGCTTCAAAATAATCTGAGAGGAGTGTAGCGGGTGGGATATAGATGAAATAAGATTGGTCATGAGTTTATAAAGGTCGGAGCTGTGTGATGGGTACAGAATGTTCTAGAAAAGTCTCTAGACTTTTGTGTACTTTTTTTTATTTTTAATTTTTTATTTCTTTATTGAAGTATAGTCGATTTACAATGTTGTATTAAATTCTGGGGTACAGCATGGTGATTCAGTTTATATATATATATATATATATATATATATATATATATATATATGCCTTTTCATATTCTTTTTCATTGTAGGCTGTTACAAGATATTGAATATAGTTCCCTGTGCTCTACAGTAGAACCTTGTTATGTAAGTTTCTAATTTGCCGTAATACAAAGTAAAAATAAAATTTGATTACTGGAATTAAGCATTTTATAATTAATTCAGAGCTAGCTTTGAATACACTCTTAACACATGCTCCACTAATTTGTATTCATACAGCTTGTGTGAAATGTGACTTAAAGTTTTAGATGGCCTAGTTTCATATAATCCTGAGTCATGTCACCGCTTATGAGTCATTTCCCAAATCCACAACCCTACTTACTGTTAAGGATCCATTTTTTTTTAAAGGAGATACTGGGGATTGAACCCAGGACCTCATGCATCTTAAGCATGTGCTTTACCACTGAGCTACACTCTCCCCTCAATCCATGTTTAGCTTTTCTTTTTCTAGTAAAGACAGACAGGGATTCATGTGGTGCTGCATTTTGTATGTACATGGAATTATGTTTTACTCATAAGGTTCTAGTAAATAGAGTTGGAGGTTCTCAACTTGCTCTGAATCATTTCATAGTTAATTACACATGTAGGACATTCATGTTTCAGCCACTGGTGAGAAATGAAGCTTCTCTCGTGTTACTTAAAACCCATTAATGACCCCCTCCCAAATAAAAGACATGCTCTGTTCTTTAACTGGTAGGATGCCTCCTGCTCACACATCAACTTCTGATTTTGTTAGCTGTGGCCAAGGCGGCAGGAAGGTTCTCAACACACAGGGGAAAAGCGATTTTAACCTGGACCACAGGCAACAAATGGGGCCCCCTTCTTCCCAGGGAACAGTGTGATTGGCAGCCATTTTAAGGCTTCTCGAACTGGGGATGGAGCCTGAACTGGAAAAAGTTTGCAGGGGAGGCCTGAGACTGCTGTCCTGAGAAAGGCCTGCTTGCAAAGTTGGCCCTTGGTTAGTGTCACAGATTGAGCTGTGTCCCTACCCCCAAATTCGTATGTTGAAGCCCTACCGTCAGTGTGACTGTATTTGGAGACTAGGGCCTTTAAGGAGGTAATTAAAGTTAAATAAGGTCATAAAGGTGGGGCCCTGATCCAATAGGACTGGTGTCCTGAGATGAAGAGACCCCAGGTTGCTCTCTTTCTCAGTGCCTGCACAGAGGAAAGGCCATGTTAAGACACAGCAAGAAGGCGGCTGTCTACAAGGCAGGAAGAGAGTCCTCACCAGCAACCAACCCTGGTGGTGCCTTGATCTTGAATTTCTAGCCTCCAGAACTGTGAGAAAAGAAAGTTTCTGTTGTTAAAGCCACCAAGACTGTGGTAGCTTGTGTGGCAGCCTGAGCTGACTAATGCAGCTGGCATCTGGGAACTCAGATTTTGGGAGGGTTCCCGGCACTCTCTAAATGACAAGTGGCTGACTGTGCCTAAATGGTTCGAACAAAACACTGTGGTTTATGCTGAACACCTGCTTTCCTTCTGGGGAGCTGGGGTTTGGGTCCATGCTAACTGGAGGGTGCCTATGTCACTGGCTCCTGATAAAAATCTTGGACTCTTATGCTCAGGTTGAGTTTCCCCATTGACCAGATTTTAGATGTGGTGTCACAGTTCATTCATTGCTGGAGGAATTAAGCGTGTCTTGTGTGACTTCACCAAGAGAGGAATGTCCCTTTTCCCTGTGCTGATCGCACTTCGGGTCCTTTCATTGTAATAAATCACAGCATGACTACACAGAGACCTGTGAGTCCTCAGTGTGAATCATCAAACCTGGGGGTGGTCTCAGGGACCCCCACACACACAGCCTCTTCCCCATAGTCCCATGCCATTGTCCTCAGAGCCCTTCCATTCGTCCCTTTACTGCTTGTATAACTGCTAGCTCCTTGGGAGCAGGGTCCTTAGTCATTACTGTATTCCCAGTGCCTGGAACAGAGTAGGATCCCAGTAAAGGTCTGTTGATTCTTTTGGGGGTGGGGAGGGCTTAAAACAACAGACATTTATTCTCTGATGGTTCTGGAAGTTAGACATCTGAAATCAAGATGTCAGCAGAGTCATGTTCCCTCAAAGGCTCCAGGGGAGAGAACTTACTTGCCTCTTCCAGCTTCTGGTGGGTTGCCAGCAATCCTTGGCAGTCCACGCAGAATTGCTTGGTGTGGGAAAAAAAACCCCACACATCTGGTGTCAGAGGTGGTGTGAGCAGTAATTTTTATAGAGGAAAAAAATCTTGGAATACATAATAAGCATGAGACATAATATACATGATATGTCAAGAATATCAAGTAAAGAGATTGAGAAAATCTGGAGTAGGTTCTAAACATCTGTATTTTGATTTATGATGGGGAGGTAATTAGGTTTCTTCATTGATTTCCGCTTGGAGGAGGTACTGGGGTTTGAACCCCTGACCTCCTGGGTGCTGAGCATGTTCTCTGTCACTTGAGCTATACCCTTCCCCCTAAACATCTGTATTTTGATAAAACTCTGTTGGCAAGTCTGATGTGCATTGAGAACCACTGGCTTAGAACATGCTAGATTTAAAAAGAAGTAAATTTATGACAAAATAAACATTCACAATGATGACTGATATTATGACTGATAACTCTATCCTGTTGTGGTCTAACCTCGTCAAGCAAAGTGCCACCAGGACTCTGACAAATATAGGAAAACTCAACGGAAATGTTTCAGAAGGGTTTTGGTTAGTGCTTCCTCTAAGTTTCAACATATTATGAAAAGCAAGATCACAAATCTCTAGGGACTTCTCATAAAGCAAACGCTTTCGAAAATATTTATATTAGTCACATTTTAACTATATAAAGTTAACCTCAGGAAGGCCAAGGGTCTTATGATTTGCCAATTCTTTCCATGCAACTTATCAGTAGTAACACAGCAGATAAGATATTTTAAACAATGAGTAAAAATGTATGAGAAAAGTAAAGACAGAAAACAGTGGTTGCAATATAAATTCAAGACAAAATTAAGGGAATTTAAAAGATTAAACAGTCAAAAAGGATCAAGGCATGATCGCAAGCATGATCAACACTGAAAATATAACAGCCATAGATGATCGGATAAAGAAGTTGTGTCATATATATATATATATATATACACACACACACACATACATATATATAATGGAATACTATTCAACCATTAAAAGGGAAAAATGGTAACATTTGCAGCAACATGGATGGACCTAGAGATTATCACACTAAGTGAAATAAATCAGAGAACGCCAAATACCATATGATATCATTTATATGGGGAAATTTTTTTAAAAAGTGACACAAATGAACTTACTTACAAAACAGAAACAGACTCAGACAGAAAACAAACTTATGGTTACCAAAGGGGAAAGAGGGGAGAGGGATAAATTAGGAATTTGGGATTTGCAGATACACACTACTATAAATAAAAAAGATAAACAACTAGGTCTTACTGTATAATACAGGGATCTATATTCAATAGCTTGCAATAACTTATCATGAAAAAGAATATGAAAAATAATATATATGTAAATGTATAACTGAATCACTATGCTGGACACCAGAAACTAACACAACACTGTAAATCAACAATACTTTAATTGAAAAAAACCTAGAGAATGTCATTCTCAGTGAAGTAAGCCAGAAAGAGAAAGAAAAATACCATATGAGATCGCTCATATGTGGAATCTAAAAAACAAACAAACAAACAAAGCATAAATACAAAACAAAAACAGACTCATAGACATAGAATACAAACTTGTGGTTGCCAAGGGGGTGGGGGGTGGGAAGGGATAGTCTGGGATTTCAAAATGTAGAATAGATAAACAAGATTATACTGCATAGCACAGGGAAATATATACAAGATCTTGTGGTAGCTCACAGAGAAAAATAATGTGACAATGTATATATATATATGTTCATGTGTAACTGAAAAATTGTGCTCTACATTGAAATTTGACACAACATTGTAAAATCATTATAAATCAATAAAAAATGTTTTAAAAAAAGAAAAAGAAAAAAACCTAGAAAGTAACATGATTGTAAAGAACTTAAGTCAGAAAACTTCATTTAAAATTTTTTTCCTTCAAAAATTAAAACATAATAAAGTCTGTATAGAACACAGATTAT